TCAGCGACAGCCATGAAATTGGGGCCGAACCGAGGAAGATGAGCACGCCAGAGGTGCTCCGTCGTCCGTCGATGTCCCCCACCATATCTGTATCGCTGAACACAGTGAGCTGCAGTCTACTCTCACTGGTCTTTGGGAAGATGATCCCATGATCTACCGTCCCTTTGACGTAGCGCAATAGCCGCTTCACCGCAGCCCAGTGATCCTCTCTGGGATCCTCCATGAAGCGACTAACGTAGCCCACGGCGAACGTAATGTCCGGCCTCGTGTAGACTAGGTAGCGCAGACCGTTAACGATGCTCCGGTAGAGTGTCGCATCCACCTTCGCCGCGGTGCTAGCCTTCGTCAGCTTCAGCCACTCCTCCATCGGAGTCACGCATGGTTTGCACTCAGCCATACCGCTCCTCTCCAACAGCTTGGACGCATACGCGCTCTAACCGAGCGTGAGTTCCTCCTTCCCCTATCTCACCTCGATGCTGAGGTAGTAGGAAAGTGCGCCGAGATCGCTCATTCGAAAACGAGCCGTCATCTCGCGCTTGAAGTTGTTGATGTCCTCCGTGAGCGCGCCGGTGATGATTAAGTCATCTACATACACGCCGACGATGAGCTCCTCCTCCCCCCGTCGCCGTGTGTAGAGCGCATGCTCGGTTGCGCACCTCTGAAACCCAAGCTCGCCCAGCGTGGCGTTAAACTTGGCGTTCCATGCTCGTGGGGCCTGCCACAGCCCGTAGAGCGCCTTGTGCCGTTGGAGCACCCTATGCTCCTCTCCCTTGACGGTGAAACCTGGAGGTTGCCTGACGAAGACCGTCTCCGTTAGCTCGCCGTTGAGGAAGGCTGATTTAACGTCCAAGTGATGGACGCGCCAGTCCTTTGCTGCTGCCAAAGCAAGTAGCAAACAGACTGACTCTATGCGCGCTACTGGCGCAAAGACCTCCTCGAAGTCATGCCCACGCGCTGAACAAAGCCTCGGGTAACGAGGCGCGCCCTATGTTTGACAATGACGCCGAGCTCGTCTCGCTTGACCTTGTACACCCACTTCAGGCTGATCGAACGGCATCCTGGAGGTGGATCGACGAGCTGCCAAGTCTCATTTTCCTCGATCGCCTTCATCTCCTTCAGCATCGCCCGTTGCCAGTTTCCATCGCGCTCGGCTAGCGCGAACGTGGGTGGTTCCTCTGCACTGACAAGCAGTAGCTCTGCGTCATTGAGCAGCCTACCCGCCAGACTTGAGAGACCTGTGCCGCCGACGATGTCGTCCAGCTTGCAGAATCGCACCTCCTCACCTTCGTGGTAGGCGTCCACGAACTCAGTGATGTCACCGGGAGGTGAGGTGAGCTCAATCGGCGTCGATAGAGTTCCCTGTTCCGTCGGAGTGCTCGGCACCCCAGGTGTAATGCTCGGCACTACTTCTGGACAGCTCGTCTCAACTCCTGTAGTGTTTAGCCACACTGTAGGAGTGCCCAGCCTCAGTCTTGGAGTGGTTGACACTTCTGTAAGATGTCTTGGCTCCGCCACGGGAGTGCTCGGCACCCGTCCTAGAGTGGTCGCCACCACTGCAGAACCTCCCGGCACCACTCCTGACGTGCTCGGCATGGCTCTAGAAGTGCTCGGCACTCCTCCCGGAGTGCTCGGCATCCCTCCCGAAGTGCTCGGCTCTACCGCCAGAGTGCTCGGCACCTCTTCCCCAGCGTCTCCACCACCGTGGATGACCAGGTGCTCGACGACGAAGGTGTTGGTGAAGCTGCCAGCTTCCCCTGTGCTCGAACTGCTCCAGTCCCAAGCCGCCTCCTCGTCGAACACGACGTCGCGTGAGACAAGCACCTTGTCTCCGCGTGGGTCATAGAGCCGGTACGCTTTGGTACCCTCCGCGTAGCCCAAGAACACCATCGGTGTGCTCCTGTCCTCCAGCTTGGTGAGGTTCGGCTTCATCTTCCTGACGTGGCCGATGCAACCGAATGTCCGGAGGAATGACACGCTCGGCTTGCGCCCATACCAAGCTTCCAACGACGTCTTGCCCGTTAGGGCTTTGGTTGGAGATTGGTTGAGGATGAACACCACCGTGGTCACTGTCTCACCCTAGAACCTTACCGGCATGCCTTTGGCCTTCATCATGGATTAGGCCATTCCGACCACCGTCTGGTTCCACCTCTCCACCACGCTATTCTGTTGTGGCGAGTACGGCGCGGTGTGGTGTTGCCCCACACCCTGATCCGCGCAGTACGCAGCGAACTCCACCAAAATGAATTCGCCGTCGCGATCAGTCCTCAGCACGTGGAGCTTCTTGCCGCTCTTGGCCTCCGCGCGCATCTTGAACTTCTTGATCGCTGCCGCCACTTCGTCCTTGCTCGTCAGGAGTTGCAGCCACATATAGCGACTGCAATCATCCACGAGCAGGAGGAAATACCGCCGACCAATGTTTGTAGCAGGCGTGATCGGCCGTAGAGGTCGCCGTGGACGAGCTCGAGAGCGTCCTTCACGCGAAACTTGGCCGCCTTTGGGAAAGGTAGCCTCCTCTGCTTCCTAGCCAGGCAGCTGTCACACAGCTCGCCTCTATGCTTGATGTGGGGTAGCCCTCGGACCATCTTCTCCAGCCGACCAAGCGCGTCAAAGCTGAGATGTTCGAACCGGGCATGCCACATCCACGGTTCCTCGGAGTGCCATGCCGCCAGGCACACCGGTTGCTCTACCTTCAGATTGAGCAGGTACAACCGGTTCAGGGACCTCTTCACCTTGGCAAGAAGTCGCTGCTCTCGGTCCCTGATCCTAAGGACTCCGTCCTTGATCAGTACCTCGCTACCGTACTCATCTAGCTGACCAATGTTGATGATGCTGGAACGCAGCTGCGGGATGTAATATACATCCGTTAGCGCGCGGTGCTCCCCGTTCTGGCACCTGAAGATAATGGTACCGCGCCCTTGGATAGCCACCCTTAAGCCGTCACCAAACTTCACCGTACCGTTAACATCGTCGTCGAGCTCGGAGAAGAATTCCTTGGAGCCCGTCATGTGGTTACTAGCACCAGAGTTTAGATACCACCGCTGCTCCTGGTCGGCGCCCACACATCCGAGGAGGACTTGGACGCGTGGTTCGTCTAGGTTGACGGTCTTCCTGGCCTTCCCAGGTCCTTCCACCATCATCGTCTCTTCCCTCTCCTCGGCCTCGACATCGTGCAGTGCACAGAACGTCGCCATCAGGATAGTGACCTCATCCTCATCATCGGCTTGCGCCAGGTGAGCCTGAGTCTTCTTCTCCTGCTTGCGATTTGGGCACTCCCGTGCCTAATGGCCCATCTTCCCGCATTGCCGGCAGGCGTTGGGGTCGACCTGCTTCTTCTCCGAAGAAGCCTTACCGCGGCGCTTGCCATTGCCACCGCGGGTGGAGGAGGCTGTCTTCCCGGAGTTCCTCCGAGCAGCCCACTCCTCTTCCGTCAGCAGGAGTTTCCCGCTGTCCTTCGTTGCTGTCGCCTGCTCCAGGCGCTCGTCCACCGCCCGTAGACGGCCTGTCACATCCTTAATGGTGAGGGTGGACAAGTCTAGCATCGTCTCTATGGAGAGAGTGATCTAGATGTACTTTGCCGGCACGGAGTGGAGGTACTTGGAGACCGCCTTCTCTTCGTCGATGGTAACATCGTGGCTCTTCAGCCTGCTGATGAGCGTCTGCAGGAAGAGGGAGAAGTCCTCCACCATTTCACCATCCTTGAACTTGAGGTTGGCGTACTCCTGCTTCAGAAGCTGAGCCGTTGCCTTCTTTGTGCGGTCGGAACCGACGCGCATCGCCGCAATAGCCTCCCACGCCTCCTTAGCCGAGCTCTTTGCCTCCAACGGCTCCCTGTACTCCGCCGGTACAGCAGCGAGGATAGCCTCCAACGCTGACATGTCATCTTCCTCATTGTCGGTGCCCTTGTCAACAACATTCCAGAGCCGTCGGGCTCTAAGCTTGACCTTCATGGTCACCGATCACTCTCCGTAGTTGGTGCGAGTCAGCGTCGGCCAACTGGTGCCGCTGACCTCCCGCACCATGCGAACAACGACCTCCGGTCGTGGCTGGGCAACCACAGCAGTGCCACTGCTGTTGCCCATCTCCGAACCGCCCGTCATCGCTAGCGGTTAGTCTGGCGACGGCGCTTGTACGGCTCCGATATCACTTGTTGGCCCACAGGATCACCGGCTAAGGTGAGTGAACCACTCACCAGTCTTGCCGAGCACCCGCTAGTGTTGCCAAGCACCCACTAGCCGTGCCGACCACGACAAGCGTTGTTCGTCCCACACACTATGGCTAGAGCTAGAAGAAGAAGGGAGATCAGAGCATGCACACACAGTATAAAACACCAGCGTTGGCCGAAGCCCTGTCTGGGAGATGACAAATCTGAACTCTCTTTACTGAGTTACCGTGTTAATCTATTTATACAACTCTATCCATCTAATCCCAAAGTCAAATTTGCCTCTGCCGCAATGGTGACTAGATAACATACATGGTCGACTCTGCGTCGGCATCGCGTGATGTGCCTCACAAAGGTCTGCAGGTGAGCGATTCGGCCGCACCTGCACTGCAGCGACGACTGAGATCATAGCAGGGGGCCTTTTCGGCACCGCCTTCTCTTTCTTTGTGTTCACACAAGGTAGCAGTAGATTATCTAACCGCCTAAGCCCAGCCTTTGCTGGGGTGGGCAGCACTGATTGCAAATCATCCCGCCCTAGTGCGCCACCTCCACGCGCGTCGTTGTAACTTACATTTTCTAGATCTTAATACAAAGATACGCAAGCCTTTTGCGTATTCGAGAAAAAAAATCAAGAATAATAATGATGCTGAAGAATTGCGCTGAAGAAATTTATTGGCCCGAAGTTAAGCTCTTATGTGCTCAGTGAACAAGAACACTGGTGTTAACTTGCTAATTCGCTACCTTCCTTGATCGTTTGCAGGATCAGAAGGATCTGAATAATACCTCTCTTTGTCCCAGTACTATCTACAGTGATGAACTATTACTACTTATACAGCTGCAGCTAACAGCAAGCTGCCACATACGGCGCCACGTGGTTTGCAGAGTGGCACGGCATTGCCATGGTGCTCAGGAATGCCTTCTCGAGCTCCGCAGAGGCACCCCTCCTCAGCAAGCACAAGGCGTACTCCATGACCATGGCATCACAGGGCAGTGTGATCCTGCCGTCGCTGCCCGTGAAGCCGAACTCCTCCTTGGACATCTGCAGGAGCTCCGCGAAGACTGTCGTCCTGAGGCACGCCAATGGCACCTCAAACCGTGCCCCGTCAGTCGTGTACACTGCACAGTGCCCCTTGCTCGCCACAGAAGTGCAGCACTTGTCTACTTCCTTTGCTGCCGTCCTCCAGGTAAGGCGCTTCCTCCCAAGAACTGCCATCCTCTGCCACTTCTTGGCCATCTGAGCGATCCTCTTGGTGCTGATCATATTCATGGTTAGTTCTCTTTCTTGGCTGGAAACTGGAGAAGTGGAGAGCTCTGAGTTGAGAACTTGAGATTGTGATGCTGTTCTGAGGCCACTTGACCTGAATATATAGCGCACTCGAACTCGACAAGGCCATGAGGACGGTGAGTGCGATGTTGCAAGACGCGTCTGCGAGTACGCGCGATGCCGATTTGGATGAGACTCTGATGGGGGCGAGTGTTTGGTGCGTGATCGACCCGGTGCCGGTGCTGACTGAATGCTCGTGGTGTGCTTGCTTTCGGTGCTTGGACTGCAAAGAATCCGTGCTGGCGTGCCATGCCGAGCGGTGTCGTTGGGAAGGGGCACGAGTACCCCATGTTTGTTGGGGCCAACGTGGAGCATGAGGGCCAGGTTTGTTCAGCTGTGCCGTCAGATACATCAGGCAGATGGGTTTAATAAAGTTTAAACAAACAGATGGCCCATGCGCCTCTTAGCAACTAGCATGTATGAAACAGGTCAGTATGGCAGCACGTCATGATATCATAGCACCAAAGACCAAACACAGGTGCAATTGTCTCCAGCAAGTGCCAAACAGATATATATGCCCCTAGAGAAATCTAATCAGCTTGCAACACTGCATGTTCTGAGCTCATGGCCTTGCATCTTGCCTGTTTGAGATGGTGATTGCACCTGTCTGCATCGTCTTCTCTTTGCCCTGACCAATAAATCCATCAGCTTAGCACCAATCCATCAATACTTCATCGGCCCATCAGCAAGCTAAGCACAACCACCTTATACAAACTGAAATTCTCTAAATATTCAGCCAAAAAAGCAGGAGAATTATTTAAGAAAAAGCAGGAGAAGCAACCATGATCAGTGCCAATAGACTTGTTCAGATGGCAAAGAAGTGGCAGAGAATGGCTGACGGCGACTCCGCGGAAAGAAGACGCCGATGGTTCGTGCGGTACATCGACGTCGGTGGCCATGAAGGGCTACTGCGTCGTGTACTCCGACTTGAGGCGGTTCGAGGTCCCGCTGGCGTACCTCGGCACAGCAGTGTTCATCGAGCTCCTGCACATGTCGCGGGAGGAGTTTGGGTTTGCTGGCGACGATGGCAGGATCACGTTGCCCTGTGACGCCGCGGTGATGGAGTACGTGATGTGTTTGCTTAGGCGAGACGCCTCTGAAGAGGTTGCGAGGGCGTTCTTGAGCTCCATCTCCATGGTCAGACCTTGCCACCACAGCGTCAGTGGCATGGTGCCATCGATGCGCCAATCAGCTATCTGTGTATAGCTATGATTAGCTCATGATGTATATATTATTAGATTCATTTAGCCGGATGTAATATTCTGGAATAACAGGAAATCGCACAAAAAGGTTCTTCATTTTATATCCTTTCTGAAGTCTGAACACGCCTCGTTGCATGAATTTGTAAACGTTTCTCGTTGCTTGAATGAAATGGTAGAAAGTACTAGAAAGAAGAGGAAGCCATGGCCTGAAAGTTCGCGGACGCGCGAGATGCGGTTGAAGGACGCAACGGCAGCGGCTGACGGGCTCCCGGGACGGTATGAGCCGACGTCGGCGGCGGCGGAAGGAGAGGGCGTCAGATTATCTTGGAAGTAATTTGGATCCCGGGACGGTTGAAAGACTTGTAAGTTTTGGGCCCTTAAAAATTTGGATTCTTGAAGTTGCGGCCCACATCGAGAAAGGCAAAGCAGTTTTGGGCTTTTGGTCTTGGGTCTTTCCCGGTGGGACCCACCTACCGGATTGTATTACCGTTTGGGCCCCTCTGTTAGGTCATCCTTCACTGCCGGCGGAACGCCGCGGAAGCCTGGCCAGCGCCGTTGAGTCCGCTTTCCGGTGGCTGTGGCGTCTGTCGGTTTGGGATGGCAGCGTGGCGGCCGCCCACGAGTGCGCCGCTCGGCCGGCAGGCAGCTCGTCGGCTCCGGTGAGAACACCAAACCGAATAGGTGCCCCATTGTATTCGTATAGGAGGCAGAAAATCAGCCAAATTTGCTCAGATTAGTTCATATATAAGTGATTTGGAGATAAATTGGTTGAGCTTGCTCAAAACAATCATTTCTGAAGAATTATTTGGGATCACACTATTTGTTTCCTTTTTGAGAGAATGAAACATTGACGTGATGTTTTAGCTGAAAGCCAGCATCAATGTCTCAGTCGGGACATGGCAGGATGGTCCAAGCCATGAGCTGAGCAGATGCGTGGTTCGCTTCACTGCTATTGGTTGTGTACTCTGTACTTACTGTTGCATTGCATGATAGGTGTTGGTGAGCAGTGCTTTAAAATCATGCAACTTGGTCCACAGTTCCGTACGTCAATTTCCACTAATGGTCTGCATGATTTCTAGCATTGCATGTGACATCCAATTTCGTGGTATTTGTGTGCAGGCCCCTAATCGGCCTAGAGCCATTTTTTTTCGCTTACATGCCATGACCAGTGTTTGCTGGAAAGTTCAGATCCCGGTCATGCATCTGTCGAGGTTGCTTGGCTCTCACCCTACTGCTAAAGTAATGTAAATTTCCATGCAAGCCTGTATTCTACTATTCTGTAATTCTGTTGCCAGGGTGTTCAGTGTTCAATTGAATTTAGGGGACAACTTTCTAAGTAAAAAAAAAAATCTGAAACCAGTAAGTCTTGGTCTTAGGCTATCACTTTTGCAGACCTGAATTCAGCAATTTCGTGTCTGAATAAACACCAAGCACCGTCTTTTCTCCACTGCTTAACTCCCTTGTCCGTTTATGATTTCTCCTGGCCATGATTTAGCCAGTGAAATTTGGCCCTAGTCTTAGCAAAATCCTGGGTCCGCCACTGCCAGGCACTTGTCACAGCAAGACGCAGACAAGGAAACTTGGATTTGATGCTTTAATCAGATGACAAGCTGCAAGAGTTCAAAAGTGAAATCGGTACCCTGGATGCTGAAACAAGTTGACTGAATTCAAAGCGAATGAGTTATAATCAGGCCTGCAAGGATATGAGCACAGGGCATGCACACAAACCGTGGCTTTAATAGTTACATCTGTCAGCAGATGCCAGAAAGAAAAGAAGCAGAGTGCCCTGTAATGCTGTACGGGTGTACCCGATTTCGCCTCATGATTGTCATTTGTCTAGTTTTGTTCTTGAAGTCCTGCAGGTGGAAACATTAAGAGTTCACATGAGATGCTAGTGATCCAACAGACAGCCGGGTGAAGTTGTCAAACCGTGGCTTTAACAGTTACATCTGTCAGCAGATGCCAGAAAGAAAAGAAGCAGAGTGCCCTGTAATGCTGTACGGGTGTACCCGATTTCGCCTCATGATTGTCATTCGTCTAGTTTTGTTCTTGAAGTCCTGCAGGTGGAAACATTAAGAGTTCACATGAGATGCTAGTGATCCAACAGACAGCCGGGTGAGGTTGTCGACCAAGTTGTTTGGATCTGCTGAGCACATTTAATCTGGTCGTTCAAATACAATGCGCCATGGACGTGAACAACTGCCTTGTTATCTTATTGGAGAATCACAGGATCAACTGGCCCAGACACGTTGGCCCAATGTTGATGTGGTCCTCTTGAGGTTGCATGCTTGACTGCAGAAAAAAGTCAGTATGGAAGCACATTCTGAAAGTATTGTTTCCAGCAAGTGCGAAAAAGATGGCTCCAGGGAAATATATTTAAGATCACACTGCTTTTTTTTTCCCGCAGCATTGCATGTTCTGGACGCATGGCCTTGTCTCCTGGCAGCTTGAGCTGATAGCTGCACTTGAATTGCATCCTTCTGTTTTCCCTGCCCTGTAAATCCATCAGCTTAGCACCAACACTTCATCGGCCCACGAGTAAGATAAGCACAACACCTAATAGCTGGACATCATCACCTGGTAGAAGCTGAGCTTCTCTGAACTTTCCAACAAGAAAGGCAGAAACTGAATCAGCCATGATGAGTTCCAAGAGACTTGCTCAAATGGCAAGAAAGTGGCAAAGATTGGCTGCCCTTGCGAGGAAGAGCCTCATGCCAATCCCGGCGAAAGAGACTGAGGAGTCATCGTGCAGCACGTCGTCAGTGGCTGGCAAGGGCCACTGCGTCGTGTACTCTGCTGATGGCAGGCGGTTTGAGTGCCACTCTGGTGTACCTCGGCACCACGGTTTTCAGCGAACTCCTGGACATGTCGCAGGCGGAGTTCGGCTTCTCAGGTATTGGCGGCAAGATCACGCTGCTCTGTGATGCCGCGGCGATGGAGTACGTTATGCGTTTGCTTAGGACTTAGGAGAGAGGCCTCTGAAGAAGTTGAAAGGGCGTTCCTGAGCTCCATGGCGAGGCCTTGCCACTATGGAAATGGCTTGACGCAGCCCATGGGATTTGTTGTTCCTAGCTTCTGAAGATTAGCACTGAACTGCTAGAGCTTGTCATGGTGCTTTGTCCTCCCTGTTTCCATTTCTTTCCAGATGTAAAGATGTAAATAGTTGCTTTTGGGAGATTGGCAATGGAACTAGGATGATTGCTAACCAAGAAATGGAACATCAAGTTTTCTCGGACTCTGGTCTAACCAACTGAGTTGTTCTACTCTGTTTTTTAGGTCTTAGATTTACGTAATTCTGGCATTGTTCGACAAAACCATGACAGTAATGCGGCCACTCTTTGTCTACACGACGGTTTAGCCTGTTTACACGCCGTGTAAATGCTATATAGTAGCTTGCCGTGTTCGTTTAATTAGTCATTTGTCTTCGTTTAATCACCTTTTAGTCCGTTTAAGTGGCTGTTTAGCCTGAATAAATATTTAAACAATAGGTGACCGTTTAGTCCGTTGAAACATTTAGGCTAACACTTAATGCGGCTAAACCAAAATTGTCGGTGAACCAAACAGCGTGGTCAACCTCGACGCGATAGAACTACCAAGATTATCAGCTTGTTTCCTAGTTGTAATCCTGTAGGTCCATGTAACAAGGAGTGACGAAATGGAGCTCACATGAGATGCCAGTGGTCCAACAGACCGCCAATTGAACAAGTGATATGAAGTTGTCCAGCAAGTTGTTTGGGCCGCTGAACACCTTCCTGTTCCACCCCGATGTCCATAGATATCTCAGTGAAGGAACGTTGGTTCTAATTTTCATGCGGTCATCACGAGGCGTGCTTCTTAGACTCGACTGGCCACTATGGCAGCGCATGCATCGTGATATCCAACTACTGAACTATCCAAGCACGCCCAACAATGCTGCACTAGTGGCTCCAACAAGTGCCAACACAGATGGCCCAGAAAAATCCGATCAAAATCACACTCGCTTTCTCTTGCAAGTTGCAAGCGCTGCATGTTCAGAGCTCGTGGCCTTGCCCCTTGCCAGCTGGAGTGGATAACTGCATTTGAACGGCATGCTTCTCTTTCCCCTCCTCACCTATAAATCCATCAGCTTAGCACCAACACTTGATCAGTCCATCAGCAAGCGAAGCACTACACCAAACTCACCAAGTAGCCGAATACCACTTGTTAGCCAAGCAACAGACGGAAACATGGTCAGCGCCAAGAGACTTGTTCAAATGGCCAAGAAGTGGCAGAGGATGGCTGCCATGGCAAGGAGGCGGATCGCACTGACGCCAGCGAAAGGAACCACCGAGGGATCATCGAGCAGCAATTCGCCGGTGGCCGGAAAGGGCCACTGTGTGGTGTACTCGGCAGACAGCAGGCGGTTCGAAGTCCCGCTGGCGTACCTCGGCACCGCCATCTTCGGCGTGCTCCTGAGCATGTCGCAAGAGGAGTTCGGGTTCGCCAGTGACGACGGCAGGATCATGGTGCCCTGTGACGCCGCCGTCATGGAGTACGTGATGTGTTTGCTTACAAGAGATGCATCGGAAGAGGTGGTGAGGGCGTTCCTAAGCTCCATGGTGAAGCCTTGCCACTGTGGAAATGGCTTGGCGCAATCCATGGGAGTTAGCCAGCAAGCTGTGTTCTAGCTTCTGAGGATTAGCAGTTTATTACTTAGATTGTTTCATCATTCTTGAATGATACATGTAAATAGTTACATTGTGAGAGACCGGAAATGAAACTTAGTATGGAGTATATTTGTTGGCTTCTCCAATAGTTCTAATATCTCGCTCCTAGAAGCTAGAAGACGTACAGTTTTGCATTCGAAATCTCGAAGGGCTTGTTTGGTTCTTTTCCCTAACCAGCTTGCCTCGCATCTAGAATGCAGGCCCCGCTGGCCAGGCTGAGACGATGTAAAGCCTCTTTGTTTGATTGCTTATATTGCTCTAGCCAGGTTGCATCGGGCCATTGATTGGGTGCATGAACTTGTGACCCATTTCATAGACAACGCATACGCCAAAAGCAGCTAGGTTGTATCACGCTAGCCATGCCCGCGAGAAACATAGGTCTGTTTGGATTCCTGGCCAAGGGTGGCCCGTCTGCCCAACATGGCCTGGGCAACCGCAGCCTGGTTGTTGAGGCGCATAGAGCCATGTTTGTTTTCCTATCTCAGTTGGGTCTGACCCTTTAAGGCTCGTTCGTTTAGCCCTTGTTCCATGTGGATTCATTCCAGATGATAAAAAATAGCATAAATTTCCACTGCATTCCAGGCTGGAATCATTCTAGTCATCTATTCCGTGAGAAACGAACAGACCCTTAGGGGTGGTGTTTGTTTGCTGGAACTAGAAGTGGGTCAGGAAGCAACTGTCTCAGGGTGGAGGAGAAAAATGGCCTAGGAGAGCGCAGAGCCAGCCGAGCCCAGGAGAAACGAAATTCATTTTCGTTTCCCTAAAGCCTGGCCAGCTGTGCTTTAATATCCGCGCTAGCCAGGCTCTAGTGTTCTTTAGGAAAACAAACAGGTCCAACTGCATCCGCTAGGCATGACCCAAAGGCGGAGCCAGGATTCCAAACAGGCTTATATTCCAATCTCGTTTCTATGGAGTCTGAACGATGGAGGAATCTTGCATGAGCTCAACCTGGCCCAAGTCGACATACAAGCATCCAAACAGTCCTTTCCTGCATCTCACGAGCCAGGCTGACCCATATATGAGTAACCAAACAGGCCCGAAGTGTTTCCAAATCACCAAGCCACTTTTGTTCTTTATTTCTCTCTCTACATTTGCATTGAGAACCATATACATTCTTTTTATTCTTCCCCATGTTCTTATTCTACCTCCACCTCCAGATATCTGGACACTCTTCTAGTTCGTGGGCGCCACGGCCACCCTAGCACCCCTCCTAGGCTGCCACAGTCACCCCTAGCCGACCGTAGCCACTCCTAGCCGGCCATAGTCAGGTAGGGCCAGGCCATCAGCGCTCATAACCCTCCAAACGGTGGCTTCGACTAGCAGTCGTGGCTAGGGGTGGCCAGAGGCTTCCAGGCTTGGCTAGGACATGACAGGAAGAGGCTACAACAAAGAGGAGGGTGGCAACCCGATCGATTTTACCACTTTCCTAGGGAAATGGAGGCGGTGATTGGCTTCTAGGGGGTGACGGAGATAGATGGGGACGTTCGTAGCGCGAGAAGGAAGAAAAAATTGGAGAAGTTGCACTCTTGTATATTTCCGCTAGTCTCGATTGTTTTTCCTAAGTGCAAAAAGATTGGAAGTTGTGATAAGGAGTTGTTAGAGAGACCTATATCTCACTCCTAAAAGCTAGAAGACAGTTTTGCATTCGAAATCTTTTCAAATCACCAAGCCACTTTTAAACTTTATTTAATTTATCTCTTTGTACATTTTTCATTGGGAACCTATGCTTTCTTCTTATTCTTCCCCACGTTCTTATTCTTCATCCACCTAGGGCAATGGAGGCGTGATTGGCTTCTAGGGGGGTGGGGGGGGGGTCATGCAACGGATGGGGGCGGTAGCTTCTTTCTTAGTGCGAGAAGGAAGAAACATTTTGAGAAGTTGCACCAACGTGGATGCCAAATCGCCCCTCTCCCCTGTATCTTTCGCTCGTCTCGATTGTTTTTCCCAAGTGTGAAAAGATTGGGAGTTGTGATAAGAAGTTGTTGGAGAGAGCTGTTTTTCAATCCTGCCAAATAAACAAGATTGGGAGTGGGTTTTGGAAACCCTTGGAGATCCTCCATCTCATTTAGGTAGGGTATAGATAATTCTTTTTTTTTCCAATAGAAATGCTTCCAAAGTTGTGCCTCCATCTTGCATGTCGCTAGGAGCGAGTTCAGAGACGCAGTTTCAGACCTGAACACAACTCCGTTTACTTAACAATGCATCACTTGCAGCAAAATAAATCTGCAAAACAGTAAGTTTTGAGCTTATGTTGCCAGACATAAAGTTTTGTGCATTTGCAATTTTGCAGTCTCGCATTCTACAATTTCACCTTTAGGTTGTGGTCTCTCTGTTGTTAGTGGTCCTTCTTCTTTTTTGAACTGGTCAACTCTGACCAGAAAGTATGGCCTTTACATTCCGCCAACAAAACTGATAGCAAAACTCTGAATATTGCAGAAAGTTGCCAACTGGAAATGAAAGAGGCCGATGGTGCATTGTGGTTTAGCTGGAGAATGGCAGTAACCTTTCAAGTTTGGATTCAGAAAATTGTGCTGAAGAATTCCATTGGTCCAAAATTAAGATCTGATGTGCTCAGTGAACAAGAACACTGATGCTAACCTGCGAAGTCGCTACCTTCCACTACGCTAGAAAACAACAAAGGAGACACGTCCACTAGAGACGGTCGTCCGCAACCGTCACAAAAAAAGGACTACAGATGGGTGATATAAAGAACCGTCTCTGAAATATTAGTCCACAGCCGCACATCCGAATACCCGTCTGTAATAACACAATATTGGAGACCCGTCTTCACGTAAGCCATCTCTAACGTATTAGCGACACGTGTTGTCGAGGCCCATCTGTTCTGTAAATTAGATCAGAGACGGTTTATGATTCTGAGACGCGTTCTTTCATTACCCGTCTGATCTAAAATGCATATCAGAGACGGCTAGTAAGTCAGAGACGGTTTCGGTTGTAGCCCGTCTTTTAAAAAAAAACATCGGTGACGGTGTGGGATATCAACCGTCATTGTCATATCAAAGACGGCTCTCTCGTGCTAGACGATATCCTCCCTAAAAACAAACTGATCGACTCGATCTCTCGCGTGGTTAATTGGGTGTACTGCTGTTAGCTGCAATAATTAAAATATAATCATCTTATTAGTCCGTTCATTTTGTGCTATGTTATCGGCCAAGAGAAATGATCTATGCATAAGCTACAATCCGTTTACGGCCAGATACAGTTGCAGCCTGAATACTTTGCCTAACTTATTTGCAATGCTACCTCATGCAAAAATGAGAAATATAGCCACTGCATAGTATATAAGTTAACTGCAGATATCACTGTCCATGCTAACGCTACGGGCCATATTAAGTCCAAAGTTAATTCAAGAACAATATTTGTCTCACGCGGTGGTAACGCTAATAGTGTGCCCTTGCTATGGACTACAATATTGGCCTAGCTATGCCTCATTTAAACATAAGGCAATCATTTTTCCCTGAGCCATCTTCCTCTAATTTTTGGTGCAAAACTTAAAAAGGATACCACAGTGTACAGTTCAAAAACTGAATGAGCGATAGAAATAAAATATTATCATATAAAAATCTGAATATGTAAAGTCAAGTATAAACTCACAGGATAAATTGTACCTTAACTTCTGGTGACTAATGATCCAAGGTTGTCAGGGCACATGGATTGACTAACCAACACAAATCACCAAGCTTAGGGTAACTTACCAGAAATACAAAAATAGAAACTGAAGTAAACATATCGTGTCTGTATGTAGTGAATTGTAGGAGTGTCAGATGCACCAAAAAATGAGATGCAAAAAATAGTCATTGCATAACACAGGCTATCCCTTCCCCTGAAATGTCAGACAATAAACAAACATTCCAATAAGCCCAAAGTTTCAGAAACACACATGCTTGAATAAGCATGTATGTCAGAAATTAAAGGATCTGATCTTTTGAAAAAAATTAAAGGATCTGACATCTTTTAGTTCTGTCAAGCAACCAAATGACTATTAATTGTCATGATACAGTAGACAGATAGTTTCACCTTGCAGTTTATTCAAGTCATGCAAAAACCTGCTTTTCCATCTCTTTGGTGGCAGGCAGACAAAGAACCTATCTGCATCTGCACCAATCTGATCATGTCTCCTTTTCCGTTGTGATCTCTCTGTGATTTTTTTTATTTAGCTAAATAAACTGACAGTTCATTTCAGAGTGACATTTATAAACATACAGGAGCGGTGCTCTGCTCAAGCTCATGCAGGCCTCCAGAAAAAATGAGAATGGTGTTTAAACTACGCACCAACATGTATGCACTCATGGCATATAAAACACAGAAGAAGCCTCTTTACCGCATAGCATAGCTCCTCACTACACCAATCCATACAAGGCCGTATGAATTTTCCTCAAAAATATTCATTCAACATCTTCAAGAGAGTACATTGTGTCCAAAGCATTTGTAATGAGTTAATTAAAGTCAGAAAAATAAAAAGTTATCCCCCAAGCACAGGAAAAAAGTTCAGGTTGATACAGATAACTGAATTCATCTATCGCACATCGTTATTCACACACAAGTCCTAGGCCTCATCTGTATAGATGATGTGGGCATTGTTAAATGAAAATCTATTATATGCCCTCCCATTGCTATTTCAAAGGATAAGCACCAAGAGGTTCTCTGCGGAGGACGTCTTTCTCGAGGACATAGTGCAATTTTGACGGAAACAATTTGTTGTGCGTATTTTTTTGAGTATACAAAGGTCAGAGGTTCTCTGCGGAGGACGTCTTTCTTGAGGACATAGTGCAATTTTGATTGGTCCATTATAATAGAGAAGATACTTAAGTACTTATACAGCTACAACAGAGGTACTGGAGACCGCTGGACAGAACTCAACGACCGCAGCAGCGGGGGTGTCGAACTTCCTAGAGGGGATCTCAATACCTTTGCCTCAACCAAAGGTCCCGTAGCGCCATTTC